AAAACATAATACAAGAGGAAGTTTGTTCACATTTAGTCATTGAACTTTTTAGAGTGAAACAAACTTTCAATTTTGTTCATATTTAGTGACTAAATGTGATAAAAATCGAAAGTTGGTTACCCTTTCAAGTCATTATCCCTTTTTTAAATTGATTAAAACCATGTGGTGGCAAGTGTGTGGCAAATAGTTATTAAATTAAATTGATGAAATTTTACCACTGAAAAGATATCATATTGGTATTTAATGAATTTAAAGTTCATTTTATCGTATCTTACTTTTTATTGAACTTTATAAAATTCAATACATTGTAGAAAAATATTGATAAATTTGTATAGAATATAAAAAAATAATATATCAATCTATTAAACAAAATATTGATAAATTTGTATAGAATATAAAAAAATAATATATCAATCTATTAAACTCTATATAGTTCAACATTTTATAGATACCTTAATGGTCTTTTTCTATGGCACCTCTATATTCAATACAATGCATCGATTATAGTGAGTAGATTAATTAACAAGACATTTGCGTATAATGTATTAATTGGTTTAATTACTTGGGTACAAAAAAAACATACACCAAATACAACATATAAAATATTCTCCCTCTTTCATATCAAAAACAACAAACTCTGCTTTTAATTACATCTCCCACATACTAATAATAATTATACATTTAAAAAAAATGGGAATAAAAACTACATATATTATCTCAAATTTGTGCAAAAAGGATTTCATTCCACGTGTCAGGCACTCCAGGTAAGCACCAATGCAAGCAATCTTGCGTCCCGGGAGCTGCTCGCATGGAATATCTCGATATATGACCTTCCTCTCTCACCAACGACAACCCCGTTATATCCAATAACTTAACCTCCGTCCCCTTCACAGCTCCGGCAGCCACCGGATCACTAGATTCGTCTTGCACCACCTCCAGTGTCCCCGGCGTTGTACTGTCACAAGTACCGCCAGTGTTCCATTCGCCGTTGAAGAAGTGCCTAGGTGAAATCGACCTCATGAATGCCTTCAATCCCGGGTATTTTGGCAACTCGGAGTTCACCCATCTCACGACGCTGTAGATCGTGAAGTTTTTAGCGCCTCCGATGTCGGCGATTTTTCTATTTGTGTTAGGTTTTCCGTTCACGTACATGATCCATTTGTTGGCGTTGAGTTTTCCTCTGTTCCAGTGATGGCCGGTGTTGAGAACGAGAACGTTGATTTTGTGGAGAAAATGTTGGAGGAACGCCGGTGGGCGATCGAGGTGCATGGCGTAGTCGGTGGCGTGGTTTGTCGGGTCAACGGGTTGAATATCGCAGAGACTTGCGGACCAGTAGTAGAGGATGGTGGTGTTGGTGGTTGGGAACCGGTAAGCCCATCCGTCGGGTCGAGTTGACCCTTCGGCTTTGATTAAACCGTATTCCGTTCCGACGTCTTCTACATCCGGCATCTCTTCGCCGCCTGTTACCATACACATCAGAGATTGGAACTGTTGTCGCCCCAAGGAATCGCCGACGAAAGCTAGGGTTTTATCCTGCATTCTGGAAATGGAATGGAATATGTGTCGTCGGAATCGGTTAAACCGTGGTTTTGATCAGATGTAAAATGGAATCGAATCTTTGATTGTTTTGTTTACCTTTTGAGGAATTCAGGTCCTGTGAAATCGTCAATTTTGCAATCTTTTGGTTGCCATTTGAGCTTCTCGTATCCAAAATCTGTTCTTTGTGTCAAACGACAAGCCCACATTCCAGATAACCATTGTTTACAACCAAATCCGGAATACAGAGGTCTGTTATCAGCAGGAATCCACTTTCCTTTTCCCAAGTTGCAGGCTGGAATTGGAATTGGTGTAAAAAGGAATTGGCAAGAAATTAATGAGATATAAAAATATGTAACATGAGTCTTGATGTTTAAAGAGTATTCAAGAAGCATTAATGAGTATTAAAAATCAGTATTCCAGATTTGGTTCTATCCTTTCCAAATCAAGAAAGAATGTTTATGCACTCATTCCTTTAAGAAGTATCATCTTTATTCAGTTATTGTTCTATATAATAATAATTTATTAGACCTTGAAATGAAAAAATAAAATAAAAAAGAAAGTAAGACAAACCTTGCTTTTCTACATTAGTCATTGGAGTGTCAATGTGTTCTTCTGTCACAGCTGACTCTGTTGTATGGGAGGTTACTGAAGCTATTAACTGTGGTTTAAATGGTTTTGAGTCATCATCTCCTTCAGAAATGGATTTTTCAATAATATTATTGCTCTCTGCATCCATGTAACAGGAATAATAAGATCCAGCGACATATTTTATAAAATCAGACTTTAGTTTGTTAATCACAGTGAAGAAAAGAATGAGAATTTTTACCATGGTGGTTTTCGTGAGTTGTTGGGGATTCATCTTGTCGAGTGTTCAAAGATGCTGAATTTGTTGAAAGTGATGGTGGGAGAATATTATTAACGACTGGTTTATCTTCCTTAAAGTCTTGTTTTACTTCAGTGACATGTTCCCTTTCCCTTTTCAATTCATCTGGTTTCACAACGTTCAACAAAGAAAAGGTTTTCAAAAACATCTTCTGCAAAGTTATTCATAAAACTCCCACCTCTTATTACTAGAAATGCAGATCAGGAAGATAAGAATATGGTTTAGATTTGCGTAGGAAAGTCCATGGATTTGTTTTAAAGGAGGATAGGATAGATAGATATGAAATCAAACCTGGAAAGATATGTAATGATTGATCATGAGGTGGAAGCAAAGTTGTAAGACGAGGGGTTTTCTCCCAATTCCAGACTACAATCGATGCACAAACAAAAACGATGAAGAAGAGAGAGAGCTGCCTCATCTTCAGCCCATAGAAGTAGCCTCCTCCTCCTTTCATCGATAAGATAAATTCTGGTTCTTAATCCAATAACATTGCCTTTTCAGACCGATATCTGCAGAACATACAACAAGAAAAAAGTAATTAAATTTTGAAAGCTTTCTTCTTCACGAAACCCTTTCTACAGATCTACATACACTCTTCCTTATTCCAACATTTATCCTCTCCTGCAATTGTAAACGTTGCGACTAAACGATTTAAGCAGGTGACATTATCGAATCAAAGTTGTTTACTGAGAATCAAGTAATCGAGAATCACGCAATCGGAGCGCTAACTAATTCAAACAAGAACAAACCAATATCTGGATCTAAAGTTAAATAATTACTATTATTTACCACAATCCGAAAGAGATAGAACGGTTTCTCACCCAAAACGAATGTAACAAAACAATCAATAAAAAGACCTAAGAATCGGGGCAACGATCTGTACATATCATTCAACTGCATATATGCAGACAATTACAATTTACAGATACAGTTTATGTGCATTGAGGAATTGCATACCTGAATGGACCTCGGAATGAATATGAGCCCTTGAATCGAGGACCAATCCAGAAAGCGGTTGGGGTTTCCTCTTTTTATTGAAAATGAAAATGAGTTGAAGAGGTTGAGAATATATAGAGAAATGATATGAACAGAAGAAGACGATGTTAAGCGTAGAAACCCTCGCACGTTGTTAGCAATGGATACCAATTAAGAATTTAAGATGGTCACCTTTTGGGTCTTACTTATTTATAATAACTGTTTAACCCATTTTGGCAAAATATGAATATATACATATTTATTTTCCATTTCCACAATTAGGCTAATTCATTTTGGAAGTTGAATATTCAGGTTTTATTTTGTAATTTAACATGTTATGTATGGTATTATTTAAACTAAATGAAATGATCAATTCTTGATGGAATAGGGTTTCCATTCCCCCTTCCCTATATATGATCATGAATATAATGGTGCTTTTAATGTAATTAAGCATGTCAAGTTATTAGAAGAGAAATATCCAGTAACTTATGGAAAATCTCAAATTAAATTTTACTTACAAAAAAGCATAGAATCTCAAATTAAATTTTACTTAAAAAAAAAAAAAGCATAGAATGTCAATTAAAACTTCCAAAAAAAAAACCATTTGTTTGGTTTCTTAGATTTAACTAGTTAATTTGATCAAAATAAAAAGATTTTTCTTAAAATTACTTATTGTTAACCAATAACAAAAATATTATGATTTTTCTAAAAGGGAAATTGTCAGAAAAATTCTAATATTTTCAAAAAAGTTTCATGTTAGTCCTAAGATTTATTTTTTGAACATAAAATCTCAATTATTTCATTTTGGCTCAAATTAACAAAAAATTCTTTTCTTTTTTCTTTTAACAATAAATGATATATTATTGTCTAAAATCAAATAATCAGGATTTTCAGTTCGAAAAAAAATATGACAAAAATAAAATTTTTCTGAAAATATTATGATTTTTCTGAGAATTTCTCTTTCTAAAGATTACCCTTGAATTATTATATATATAGATTAATTTCAAACCCCTTAAGGAACAGTTATTTGTTGTTGTTTTTTTTTCGATTTTACTTTTTGATGATTATATATTTTTATCTGTATATTATACTGAATAATGGATTAAACGTGCAGCTTGCATCTTTCTCTACTGTCTACACAATTGCTACGTGTCAGTTATAACAATGAGATTAGTGTCGGTAGCTACTGCTTCCTTTCTCTTCACCGATATACCCAACTGACCTCCTCCCACATATTTTCTATTCGATTAGGTTAACTATCGATTATCACACATCATCTGTTTCACCCCCACCGTCTCCCCTCTCTTCCTTTAATGGATTCCGACGAGCGGTCTACGTCTCACTGTTGGTTGCTTGCTCCACCATCGTGTGATAGATGAAGTTATGTATATCGGAAGAAGCCTGCCGGAATCCCTCACTAGCAACAAATAACGACCACACTCACTACCCTAGACAATATCGTTCAACACTGTCACACCCTTACAAATACTCCTTCTCCACCTCTGTAGTTCTGAAGAACCTTGTGTACTCTACGTGATGCATTCCAAGAAGCGGTCTGCCCTCATCTAATTGTCGGTTTCATCAAAAATTCTTCAAGTTGTCTATGCAAACCAAGTATAACCCTGTACCTTTTTTGTTCAATTTTCTCTTCTACTCTCACAATTTCCTAGTTCATGGCTTCAACGGTCGATTTCGTCGTTCAGAAACTTGCTACCCTTCAACTCAATGAACTCTCCACATCTTCATCATTTAAACTTCAAAAAAAAATTATGAAAAATTTATAATTAAAAAAAAAAGAAAAAAAAGAAAACTCGATTCTATCTCCCGAACAGGTATGTGTATGTGTATGAGTGTGTCTGTTATGAAATGAAGTCACATGGGATTGATTTTACTTTTTTGGGGTATCTGCAAATAAAGCTCGAAAAAATGTTGTTGGAGATGGGGCAGGTTCATTTATTTGAGAATTGGCCTGATCCTGGTGTTGATGATGATGATAAAGAAGGTCTGCTTTCTCAGGTAGTTTTACTTGCTGCCAGGCTGATGAATCAAACAATTAATTTAGGTAATTTCTATATGTTATCCCTTTGATTGGTCATCTCTATTGCCCTTGGTATCGAGTAACCGCCTCTCCATTACCCTAAATTGGAAATATTATATTAAAATATATCAGATCCTAGCTTTTTGATGCTTATGCAAAGGATTGCATTAATTTGTTGTTGTTGTTTGTATCTTATAATGACATTTGCTTAGTTCTTCTAGGTAGATCTACTTAATTAAAGCTACCTGGAGGTTTGGCCTCATATATAAAGTCTGATAGAGAACTCTTGGTAGATTCAAAGGCAGGAAGGAACACATTTGATGGCTTCACACCTTCTTTAAGTTACTACACCCCATCTTTTAGGCCATCAACCACTACTCCTTCGTCTTTTGTTTTATTGATTATCTGCATTGTTTTTCAAAGTTAATATTTTATCCTCATCTTGAATGTTTTATACTTACTCTTTCATCTAATTTGGGGTTTTATGCACACAACATATTGACATTTGAAAGAGAGTCTCACTATGCACCCCAACTGCTCGATGAAATGCTTGAACCAAGATGCTTAGAAAAGATCAGTTTTTTTCTTCTGAAAAAAATATAAAAAATAAAAAAATAATAAAAAAAATAAGAAGAAGAAGAAGAAGGCAATTGCCTATGAATTTAGGACATGTATTCATTATGTGCTAAACATTTTTTACTTGGTTTTAATTGTATCTGATTATAACATTTAGTAATCAGTTTTCATCATCAACATTTATATGTTATTTTTTTGTAAAATTGTTGGTTATACACTTTTGTTTAACCATCTTTGCTCCTCCATGGGAAATAGATGATTTCTATTCAGAGAGATTGGTCGAAATGTTCCCTTTTAACCATTTCTTTTGTAAAGTTTTTCATTTTATCTGATTATATACTTTTGTTTAACATTTATATGTTGTTTTTTTTTAATTTCATCTTTTTTGTTACTTTTTTCTTTTTAACTTTTTGCCTAGACGATTTTTTTAGTTTTTACTTTCTCTATATCATATTTGATGTGTGTAACGAAACATAAGTAAAGTGCTATTATTGATACGAACTTTACTTCCTAACCATAATATTATGACTTATATACATATGTGACTTATAATTTGAGCTGGGATAGGGGCATAGATGAAAATTTGAAGATTAAGCTCAAACTTTTGACTTGGAAAATAGAATAGTCAAAATGGATGGACAAAAGTTTAAACATGTTTGAGAGGCAGGGGTATAACTGGAAATTGGTATGTAATTTTCTGGATGTGGTTTGGAATTTGAATTTCAATAGTCATATTAAAAAAATTGTTTGTATCACTTTTTTGTTTAATAGATATATACATGAATATATTGAATTTGTAATACATTTTTTTAATCTACTTTTAAATATAAAAGTTAACCGTAGACCTAATTACATGATTGGTAAGTTAAAAAAAGGAAATTAAGTAATTCAATCCATATAAATAAACTCTTTGAAAAAATGACCTATATTTTTTTCAATTAACATATTTAATCCACTCCTTCCTCACCATTCAACCATGTAGCTCCATACTCGCCCATTGTCATTTGCCCCTCTTCATTTATGGTTGGTTTACGTGGAAGTAAGTGGAAATCCACTTAGTTGGTTGTGAACCAGATGGTGCAAAGTAGTTGGGAAGTTGAGCAAATGTAAGTACCATTCATATTTTTGTTCTAGCTGTTCTTCATATACTATAACACACACTTGAAGTTTTGATGGTGAATTGATATATTTTAATCACATTTCAAACTGATTTGCTTGATGAGGCCATTTTGTTTTCTTCTTTTTGCAAGAACATTATTTGTTCATGTAATTGATCAAAGGTTGCATTAAATGTAGAACAAATAAATATTAGTTTTTGTTTATTTATAAAGGTATGGTTTATTCTTAGATGATTTTATTCTAAGTTTGGAATTGCCCTTTTTTTCTAGGTTGGATGTTTACATCCATGACTATTTGTTGAAACGGAAGTTGCATCCATCTGCAAAAGCTTTCATGACTCAAGGGAAGGTTTCTATAGATCCTCTAGGTATGTTGTCATGAGTTCCCGTTCCCTTATTGTTGACAAATTGATGACATAAGCTTAAAATTTGATTGCTAATGTACGTGATTAAAGGGGTTTATAATCAATCTATACATGATGCATGCAGTTAACATAGTATATTAATATGATTAATGATAAATTGTGAGGATTAACAACTTAATTTAATTTTTTTATTTCCAATTGATCTGCAGTTATTCATGCTCTGGGTGGATTTATCTTTGAATGGTTGTCTGTCTTCTTGGACATTTTTATTGCATAGACTAATGAAAAACATTATGACGCAACTTTAGTTTACATTGAGGTGCTTTTTATGTATTGATTTATTTTTATATATTGATTTGTTTACAATTGTTGATGTTTCCTTTTTTACAATGTTTTCCTTTTTTTTTTATGTTTTTCATTTCTTTTTTTTAAGTTATTGTATGAGTTTTAAGAATTTTTTTAAGCCCTTCATGCTACAGTCGTTTTGGTAAATATTTTAAATCATACTTAGTTGATGCTACAGAGAGATCAATTGGTGTAAATGGAAAATTTTAATTATGGATCCTGATATTTTTGTGTTTCCTCTTACATGTGATCTTCAATTCTGGATTATGATAATTTCTATTGCTAATAATTATTGAACGATTTTTTCTAATTTGCACAGATTAACACCAGCAAGATTTGAAATTGCATCGTTAGTTTTCACTTGTATTACCAACCCCGCAAAGCATGGGAATTCCATTGATTCTAACTAAATCAGTCATTGGTCAACCTGAAAAAGTTGTGATTAAAATAGATGTTTCTAAATCTAAGTGTGGTCAAATTTGTAAATAACAATGGGTAATAAAAGACTATGAAATATCCTCCAACCTTTGTAACTCCAACATATCCTCCAACCTTTGTAACTCCAACACCCGCAACGCGGGATTCTTTCCTAGTTATATATTAATATTAACAAATCATTTATAAATGTAACACGTAGTCTTTTTTATTATAAACAAAGGAAATATAGTCACTGATAATTTCTATGAATGGAAATGTGAAATAAGTACTCTCTTATTGCTTGCTAACCACTTCAAACTTTTCACGTTCATTTGATGCATCGTTGTGAGTATCATGTTGAGATGCACTTTGTGGGTGTTTCTATGATGTTGGTGTTATTCTAATGTTTTTTAACCTAACTACTATATTTATACCTTACATGGTAACAACTATCAACTAACATACACCCATCAAACATGAAAAGTAAACCTTGAATGACAACTTAAATAGAAACAAGTTAAGAGTGATTATTTATCTAAACTGTCATTCATAATTCACTTTTAAGATAAGATGGGTGTGTGTTAGCCTATGGTTGTTACCAAGAAAGGTATAGATGTTTGATGGTAGTTAGGTTAAAGAACATAAGAGGAACACCAACATTAGAGGAACACCGAAAAAGTGCATCTCACCATGAAACTCATTATGATGCATAAGAGGAACTTAGAAAGTTTGAAGTTGTCAGCAAGCAATATGGGAGTACTTGTAACGCCCGTAGATCCGGGCTAGTCAATTTAGAGATAATAGGGGTCGAAAATGATTTTTTGACAAAATATTATTTAGAATAAATAATTTGAACGAAGTTGTAGTATATGTCACAAGGTGTCCGTACATATAAAGAACGCCGAAATCCGAGTTATAACGAAGAAGTTATGACTCGTCGAAGTTTCGCGACGGAACCGACACGGCACCGGGAAGCGTAAATAGTGAATTTACGATGGAGGACTTTTTAGCCTTAGTGATCTAAATGAAATTCGTAGAATATGTTAAACTAACAGCGTCAATAAAAAGAACGCCTAAATCTGACTTCGTATGAGGAAGTTATGATTTTTCTAAGATTCGGCTTAGCAGTGTACAACCCGAAACTCGAATTTTAGTTCGAGCGGTTTTTGGCTTATGCGACCTAAATGAGAGTTGAAGATCTTATTAATAGGAACTCAATGGTAAAAAGACATATGAAAACGGAGTCCGTATGAAGGAGTTACGAATTCTTCGCGGTCATTTAACAGTCTAAACGCCTCGTACTGTTAAATTTAAGATCGGTCGAGAATTAGCCGATGGAGTCAAAAAGAAAGTTGTATATATTATTTTTACCTACGCGTGGATATAAATAACGTCAAAAACGGAGGTCATATGTGAAAGTTACGGATTTTAGAAGTCGGAAGTGTGCTGTGCGAAAATGGGTGATGTGGCACAATCTTGGTCATTGCTTTCTCCCTAAGTCTTGCCACTAGATGGTGACATGTGGCACCAAGTTCAGCCATTTTCACCCTATAAATACCACCTCTCCCACCCTCATTTTCTTCACACCTTTCCCATTCTTTCTTCTCTTTACTCTCTCTCTAGAACCTCTCTCTAGCCCCGAAATCCCTCGAAAAGCCTAGGGAACCTCCCTAGCACAAGACGGAAGCCCCGGAATATCAACGGCTCCGAGAAGAAGAGCTTTTCGGCTCGGAAACGCTGCTCCAAGCAAAGCCTGGTTTTTTATAAAACCCGCTGTAAGTGAGCTACGCCTACGCTATTTTTAATATAGTTTTTATTTAATTATATTAACGTTATTAAGAACATATAATAAATACTTGGGATATTATTATGGGTTATATAAGTATTTTTTTAACGCTTATATAATAGTAATAATAGCTAGACTATTAATTAGTCTCGGCGAATAATAGACTAAAATCTATTGGTGATAATACTAGGTTTCGTCGAAGGAAATTATTTTAAAGTAAACGAAGCGTTGTTCGAGTACCGAGTCACCACCTTCTCAGGTGAGTGCATGGTCCCTTTCATCTTACACATAGATATGAAGTATTTATTATATAATTTACGTGTTGTGAGTGCATAGTCCCTTTCATCTTACACATAGATATGAAGTATTTTAATATAAATTACGTGCTATGTGTACATATTGTCTGAATACTTGCTGTCTATGCTGAGTGAAAGATTTTTATACATGTTTTAAATGATTTAAATTGTATACGTATTTTATATCTACAAAACGTGTTGGAAAAAACATGGGTAGATGAAATAGTTGTTTTGTGATAACACGATGGGAGACATCAGTGTTGTCAGTGATCCAGTCATCTAGTGGAGTATAGATGACGACTATGGACGATACTAGACGGTCCAGTGGAACGATAGCAGTTTCGTAACATGTAGGTATTTTTGAACTAGGTGCTCATTAGGTATTTTTGAACTGAGTGTGTTCACTACGTATCTTTGAACTGAGTGTGTTCACTAGGTATTTTGAACTAAGTGTGTTCACTAGTTACTTTTGAACTAAGTGTTTACCAGATGTTTCGGACTACGTGTTCACCAGATATATTCTATAAGCCTTGGTAATGATGGACTTCGTGTCGATTCCTTAGGATGATCCTTAGGACTAAATAAACGAGGAATAGCTGATTCTTAGGGTAGATCCTTAAGACTAAAGAAGATAATGGGGATGGGTAATTGGGTTGATTGTTTGATTGTTTAAACATAATAATTATATTATTGTGGGTTGAAAACCCTATGTACTCACCAGGTTTCCCGACCTGACCCACTCAGTTTATTTATATCACAGGTGTTGATACGAAGTCACTTTACACTGAGAGATTTAAAGAGATGTAGATCACTAGTGTAAATAAATGTAAGTTTTGTTTATGCTTATGTTCCTGTATTGACGATGACATCCCAAACGTTTTAAAATGAATAAAGTACGTTTCTTCGGAAATGTTTTAATAACGTATTTATCATGTTTTTCTGGGAACAAATTCCGCAACATTTTTATTAAAAGAAGAACTCTGATTTTTATAAAGCATAAACAAAAATCGGTCTTTTCTGGCCGTGAAAATGGGGATGTCACAGTACTGAGTCCATATTTTCATTCCTAGAAATTAGCATGTGTGCCGCGAGGCAGTGATTTATCATGAGCACATAGTCAGTTGGGACTGAGATAGTCGAGGGCCACGCTACACCTATTTGAGTATAGTAGGGTGTACGGTAGTGGTATCAGTGGGGAGTTCAGTCGAGTTTAGCAGTGCAGAGAGTTTTCTATCCATAGGGTGTTGAATATGGGAGTGGGTCCCTGTTCTTGGGATGATCCCGGTGTTGGAGCGTTGGTTGATGAGTTGAGGTGGGGGGGTACGATGATTTTATGGTTCAGTCTATGAGCCAGGGATGTTATTGAGCAGTTGAGTTGTTGGATACTAGATTGGTACGAGATTTGGAACGACTAGAGGCAGACGTGACGAGAAGTTCTTGAGGAGTTCACCAGAGGTTTAGAGTATATGAGGTCGATTCATTTCCTTAAGGGGGGATTATCGGGCATTGTGTAGCACTTTCCGGGGGCAGGTGCGATTTTGCTGGAGAAAATAGTTATGGTTGGTTGTGTGCTATTTGGTGATGGTTTGAACCCTAAGTGGGGGAGAACTGGGTGTCGTATGTAAGAAAGTAGAGAATTGTCAAGAGCAGTTATAAGTGGAGTATAGAGATATGCGGTAAGAAATCATGAGACCAGAGATGTCGGTGACCGAGGAAAGGGGTCAGAGTGAGTTAATGCAGGAAGTACTTGTTTGAGAAGGATGAATGTCTCCACAACAGGTGTTTATTGGTCAGGAATCTGGCATTGGTCAGTGTTGGGGCAAGTAGATAGAGAATGTTTGGGCAGCCAACTCCCGGGTCGGTATGCGTATCTTTGTTTGGATTTTGAGCGGCGGGAAAAAGGGTTTCGGAGAATTATCAGCGTATTTCGTAACGTTAACGTTTCTTCATATTGCAATTGAGAAATTGGATACACCGAAGTTGCAACTTGGGAAAAATGAAGATCTAGTTATGGGGTTCAGAGGGAATGTATTATTGCATCTATATGGTGCTTGGGGCAGGAGATCAGTGGTTGTGGCAGGATCTTGTGATGTTCAGTGGGGGTGTTCCGAGGTATCCGGGTATTGATATCTTTATTTCGAAGTTATTCGTGAATCTTGAGTTGAGACGACTTGTGGTATATCAGGTATCTATGGATCTAGTGAGAGCCCTTCGAGTATGGGCATCCAGGGAGATTATTTTGAGAGAATGGATCTTCGCAAGGGTGGGCATCTGTTATGTCGATTGTCTCCAGAGTCTGTGATGAATATTCGAGACGAGTATGGGTAGCCGCCTATGATAGTCTGCGGAGCACGAGCTAGTGGGGTCAGAGGGTATTGTGATACTGCGGGGAGCCGTAGTACTCACTAGTCAGAGGGTGTTGTGATACTGCGGGGAGCCGTAGTACTCACTAGTCAGAGGGTGTTATGATACTGCGGGGAGCCGTAGTACTCACTAGTCAGAGGGTGTTGTGATACTGCGGGGAGCCGTAGTACTCACTAGTCAGAGGGTGTTGTGATACCGCGGGGAGCCGTAGTACTCACTAGATGGCAAGGGAGTGTGATGATGGAATGTTCTCCGATCAGTGTATATGTGGAAGAGTTTTGGGCTTGAGTAGCCCTAGTATTGAGTTTTTGGCGCTTGGATGTTGGACCGGGGGCGAGACTGGGGTCCCCGTCTCTGTCGGGAAATGTGGTGAGATGCGCAAGGGATATGCGCAGCAGAAACCAGAGATCAGAGTTGAGACGATCCTCGGTTGGATTGTATTTTCTTGCATAAGGAAAAGAAAATTTCGTGACTTGCGTGTCACGGGGCCGGGATAGTGGTCACGGGGAGGAAGTTAGTGGGATATTTGGATCATGATATGGGTGACCTTTGGAGGCTCAGTTGTGGAGTCAAAAGCTGACTTGGTGCTCAGTCTCGAAGAGGGATATGAGATGAGCTAGAGCTTATCATGATGATGTCTGAGGACACCTCAGAGGGAGAGAACGATTCAGACGCTCAAAGACATGCTTCGGGCATGTGTATTAGATTTCGGAGGGAGTTGCGACACGTAATTATCCATGGTTGAGTTATCTTATATCAACAGCTATCATTAGTGCATTGGTAT